AAAGGATTCACTGTGGAGGATCCCTGATCCATTCTCAGTGGATCCTGACTGCAGCTCACTGCTGGAAGCCAGGATGGTAGGAAACAGACATGAAGACATTTTTATCTGCAGATGATCAGGTTTTCTTTGTGTTCATTATAATCTAACCTTTTCTGCAGGTCTAACGTAGCAATGTTAAAAGTTCATCCACAGACTGCTGGGCAGCAGATTCAGGTGATCCAATACGCTACTCAAAGGACAAATGGCCTCATTTTGCTGAAACTTCAGACCCCAGTAACAGATGTCCAACCTGCTCAGCTACCAGACTGCAACAATCGTCTTAAAGTGTAAGTCTTTCTCTGATCAAAACATGACTTCAGGTTTTCCCTCTCCACTCTTCCAGTCCTGCTGCCTCTGCTTCAGCACACCTGAGTCAGGTAATCAGGCCACCAGCAGAACCAGAACCCGTTTAGCTCAGGTGTGTTGGACCAGAGACACATGTAAAGGACACAGGACACCGTCACTGAGGACTGGAGGTGGACACTCCTGTGTCAGTGGATGAAGTCCTTCATGGATTTGTTCTTGCATTGTTCTTCATAACAATTAATTTTCTTCATTATTATATTTTTACATTGTTTTAGAGGCGATACTGTTAAACTGGCAGGAGAGGGAGGAACGACAACTGGCCCGAATAATAAGCGGTGTGAGAGAAATATTGAAGTTATGAGAATAAAATCTTTGTTTCTGTCTCTACAGAAAAGGTTGAGTGAAGAACATGTTTATGATTCTCATGTTTCTCTACAGTATCCCTCAGTGATGCTATTCCATCCCAACTTCAGTGTGTCGACATGAAAGTTGTTCAGGTTTCCTATATCCATCCGACATATGGGCATATATTTGATGCTGAAACACCAAACAAGCATATATGCAAGGTACGGTATGTAAGTTTCTTCAGTATCTCTCTACAGCGATTAGAAGTATTTTCTGTTTTACAACATAAATAAATATATTGATAAAATTTTTCTACAGGCCGACGTTCATGCCATTGGAGCAGCGATGCACAATGGCATGATTTATGGAGTGGCATTTTTTAGTGAACCACACTACACATGTCAGAGTCCAGTTGTAATCAAGGATGTGTGTGATTCCCTGGGGTGGATAAAAGAAACTGTTATGAAATAAAATTCTCATCAAATTTCCTCTCACATATAATTTTATAATTGTATCTTCATCAGTTTGATCCACATGTTTGTAGAATTAGAATAAATGCATTGTTTTGTTTTGTTTTGTTCTCACCTGATCTTCACCTCCCTAGTGGAGTTTTCTCTTCACCTCAGAAATGAAAAATAAATCTATAAATGCATGAAAAGAAACATTTCCTGGCTGATTGTCTTTATGTTCATGGTTCAGTTTTTTCAGTTGATATTTTCCCTGAAATGAGTCTAAAAACATGAGTTTTAAATAACATGAAGAGAAACACCAGAAGTAATTTATTTTATCAGTTTTTTGCTTTATTTTTGAACATGCAGCATCTAAACTTTGCAGTTTTGGAGTTTCTATTCCTGATTTAGATCTAGAGAACTTTAAACTGCAACACGACCAAAGAGCTGTGCACAAAAATAATGAAACAGAAGTCACATAATTCAGCAATTAACAGATAATAAAATCCTAATAACTTAAATATAAAACATCACATTTTTAATAAAGATAGGAAACAAATTTCAACAATTTAAAAGTCAAAATATGGAATGAAAGAAGTTTTAAGAAAGTATTTATAAACAGATAAAACTAATTAATGGTATCTTCTAGTTGACACAAATATAACATAAAAATGATGGAACTTTTTCTCTATTGCAGTTACGTGTTGTTAATTTTAATTTTAACTCTTTTTATAGGCTTACATAAAGCCATAAAAATAATTATGATAAAATATTAACATAAAAATTGCTTGCAAAATAAAGGAGGAAGTGCAAAAATATTTATTTTCTTTCACTGTTGAAATTAAAATTTAAATTACATGTTTATTATGTAAAACGTCTCAGAAACTACAATTTGGTTTTCAAAAGTTTAAGTAAATTTTGAAGTAACATCTGGAAAAAGTAAAAAGATGTAGTCAATTAAATCCTATTTAGTCTTTATGGTTAATAAAACGATTTGCCAATCCTGGTACATGTTGACTGTTAGTGGCTGTTTTCTTTTCTCATTAACTGATTTGACAATAGACATTTGTTTCAGTGTATTCGGAGTGCAGTGCTTCAAAAAGTCTCTTTTCATTGGATTTCTATTGGCTCTCTGATCCTTTATATTTTTACTTATCAGGCCAGAATTTTACTCTTCCAACAGCTTTAAGTGTGTTTCTGCTGTGCAAGACTGATATTTCTCTGCAGTATAAAGAAATAGTGGAAATTTCAAAAAGGTGAGAATTTTGGAGGTGAATAGGGTTGATTATTTTTATTTAAGAATCTTGTGAGCATCATCTCAAAGTATTCCCAGATGTCAGATTTGTTTCCTCTAGCTGGCTCCATTTCAATCACGTTTATTTGTGTAGCACATTTCAGCAACAATGGAGTTTCAAAGTGCTTTATATAATAAAAACACAAATATAAAGTCATAAAATATATCAATCAACAATTGAGAAAACCAGTAACAAACATTACATTTTGATGAGTGACATAATCAAAATTATTAACACACATGTTTGTTAAGGTTCCTTTTATTTCGGCTACAGCTAAAGACAAATATGCGCGATCAAATACAACCCATGAAGCGGCACGGCTCATCATGCTTTTATTTTGAAAACCGACACGCAAAATGAAGGAATCACGTGACCCATGCAATGCTAGGCATCGTTGTTATCAGTCACGTGGTTTTCAGCAAGACGAAGCGGGAAGCGGTTTGGATGAATGGGAAAAAAATAGTTACACAAAAGTGTTTTGCTGTAAAGATGGTTTGTAGTGTGTTTTGTTGCAACCTGAAGAGTGAAATAAGCTTCAGTGGAGTTTGATAACAAATATAGGTTCATGTCTGGTTGAACGATGTGTTGCCCAGTTGATTATTTTTTCTTTTATGGGGGGTGTGGTATGGAGGTTATTGTAATCCATGGGGTGGTGGGGGCCAGAAAATCTTTGGGAATCACTGTTCTAAGGTTTGTGAAACTTCTGTTAAAACATGCAGAC